CAATCTGGCCTTCTGAGATTTCCACCTTAATTAAAACGGTGAAAAAACGTCTCTTTCCTCTTCCTGATGCTACTAACGCTCTGCATAGCGGGGCTGCTGGTGCATATCGGCTTCCCTGTGTCACTCGGGTGGGCTCTGCGCCGCACTGTGGCAGAAGAAATGGGTGCTCCTGTATACGTGAAGCATGCAGGTATCCTTTGGGATGAAACCGCATTATGCAAACGCAGAAAATTAATTTTCTGGATTATAAATGTGTTTGGTGGTTTTGACTGTTTTCATTGTGTGTTACAAAGCAGCATTCGTTGAAGGAGAAAGGGGTCTTAATAGCGTTAAAGGAAGGCATTGGTTAATTCTATTAACTTTGGCAACACAGGAAAAAAAACGGGCATGGATGGCTTAGGTCTTTTTCTGTGCCTCTGCAGTATAAAAATAAATTCCAAAGAATTCCTCCCAGATCCAATTCCGCAATCAGAATGATAACAATAAGATGCACTAAAAGGCAGCCATTAAAAACAGTTACCTGTTTTATTCTTTTATTCTCAAATGTTACCTCTGGGAGATCTGACAGGTTATATTTTATGTTCTGTTGGAACTGCACTTTTATTATTAAAATGCCAGCCCAAAGCTCAGCGAGGTGCCTGGCTTTGTCAGGATACGATGAGTTACTCAGGTCAACGCCACATGAGTCATCACTCAACAAAATGCAGAGCTGCCTCTACTGAAAAGGATTTGACTGTCCTGGGAGAAGGCTTTCACCACTGAACCTGCTTGCACTGCAGAGAATCACAACCTGCTACAATTAAAATCACCCTCCGAGCTCTTACTTTTCAGGGTGAGGATGGAGCCAACCGGTTCAAAGCCTCGTACAAAAACAGTCCGCGTCACAATAAATCTGACTCTACGTCATTAAAACTATATACAGGGCAATTGCAATAACAAAATGTGATGCCATTACTTCAGTAGCCTCACCAATGAAATCTGTTCAAATGAAATCACTCTGATTGGGCCCATCTGTACAAAAGCACTTCCTCCTCTGTCCCCCTGTTGTTATGTTGTCCTTCACCTGACCTGGCAGTTCCTCTCTGTGACAAAGTTGAAACACTCCAAAAGGCTGTACCTTGGCAGCTCAGAACGCCAATACAGTAAGTCATTCCACGTGTTAATATTAACCAATTACACACACACGATCGCAGGCTTACAACAAAAGCAAGGTGGAGTGGCCCCAGTGATAAAAGAGGACTTTGTGGTTTGCTACCAAGAGGAACTGTCCCTCCCATGTGCCTTCAAATGGATTTTTAACACTAATTCTGCTGCCAGGCCCATTATTCCTGTTTTACCGGTAATACTTCCTGGAATCCAAGACTCCATATGTAAGGCATACATATAATATCACATATACATATTGGAGGAGTTTATTAACTCTACTCCTAGAGATTAGCCTTGTGTGGTCTTGAAGGGTACTTCTACTGTATATTTCAGTCAGCAATTTAAAAGTCTCTAGTTGCACATCACAATCCTGACCTGAAACATATGTTTGTAGATTTTCGGCCTTAGTGGAGCCAAATTGTGCTTAATTAACTTCAGTGAACATCAACTAATTGCAATCCCAAGACCCCAGGGATGAAAAGCAAGTAATGGGCCCACCGCATCACCAACCTATTAATGGATGCTTCATTTTAGAAAAATATTTTTTTAAATACACTCATCTTTTAGATGTATTTTAATACACGCAGAAATGAGAAGCATAACTCCTTGCCTCCATGACAGAAACCGACAGCCTATTAAAATCTTTTCCATGAGCAGCTACACATCTTAGCCTGTGCCAGGGTTCTGAAAGCTACACATTGTGTAGCTTAATACACAGCAGTGAGCTGTATAGCTCACTGTAATTTAATTAAGGAGCGTTCAAGTAAAACTTTAATTTAAACTATTAGCATCTAGACAGAAACAGCTGAGGGGCATTGTGGTGCTGCAAAGTGCATTAATAATACATTGTTGACGGAGACATGTCAGGTTAACAACTTCTCAAAAAAGAAAGCTGACCTGCCTTCAGCGATCAAGCCTAATCAATAATCTACTGTACATTCACAAGATTATTGAGAAGGGCTGAAGGCGATCAGTAACAGTTCCTGATGCATTCTGCATGACTTCTTTGTTAAAGCGTTTAATTCAAGTGTTAGAGGCTTGTTCTGACCAATGTTGTTTTAATGCTGTGAGTTAAAAAACTGTTGTTCGTATTTTCAGAGTATTGTCCCTCCACAACAGTCTACCAGATGACTGAGAGGTAATGAGCACACTGAGCAATTCCACCTGAAGCACTCTCAGCTTGGAAGAGCCTTGAGTGACACATGTTATGTGTGGACAGCATTACTGTACTTAAAAATGAATGCATTATTTTGACATTGGTGTTGAAATACAAAACTGGAGCACAGGCCTCAAAATATGAACAACAAAGACAGCATGTAGTGAGAGCACTACCAGTAGAAATGGGCACAGTCAGTAAGTTGGTGTTAATAAATTTCTGCACCATTATGCTTCTACCCTCAAAATGAATTCTTCTTCATTAGTAAAAGCCATACTCACATGCTCTGTATACACAAATGAAACAAACAACCAAAATTACTCAGAACCTCCCTTTACTAATGTCCAGGGGGTTAACGGTGCCTGATCATTTTATTCAGGTTTATTTGGTAGCAAATCAGTTACCGTCTGTAGCGGCTGTCGCGCAGGAGACAGCTGTCATTTGGTCTCTCCAGATCGGCTGATTCTGTCACCTGGGAGTTAGATTTGACCGTTGAGACTTTGTGAGGGCGGGCGATGGCTGTCCCCTGTCACTTTGTCACTGCACTGGCGTGTAGCCGTGGGAGATGGGTGGACCTGCACCCCTCAGGGATTCACGTGGCGATGTTGCTGCCAGCAATGTGACAGAAACCCACTTCCTCACACGTTCACACAGACAAAGCATGAGCACCGTGTTTAAACCTGTGGAAGGTCATGCGACTTCTACGCTTCCTTTATGCAACGCCAACACATGCGCGTGTTCTGCCATTTCATATTCAGGAGGTAATAAGTGAGCAAAACGGGGGTGTGAGCTCAAGTGCTTTCTGCAGCCATATCACAACCTTCGTAACATCATGCTGAAACAGTTTGATTTGATAGCGCTGCATAATTAGTCATCTGGTGTGAAAAAGACATGCTGAGTTACTGAAGCGCGTCAGCACATGTTTAAATATCAGCCTTCTGCAAAAGCATCTGCGTCAGGCCCTGCATGATGTGAAAGGCCAAGCTTCCAGATGCTGCTCTGTTTATGCCTGATCCATTTTTTTCTCTGATGCTGCATCACACACATATATATATTTAATATCTGTGTCAAGGCCACTTATTTTAATATGGCCAAGATGTCCCCTTCTGATATTATTAAATCTGGGACATTCTTCAATTACCAATAAATTGGTACAGGAGGTCACTGTGATCTCTTCTTTTGGAATAAATTAATGTCTCATGGCACTTTTAAAACAGATGCAATTGACCTCTCCTCTTTGATGTTAGTACATCACATCTGTCAAGATGTGAAAGAAGGTTGTTTAAGTTTATAAGCAGAAATGAAGCAGTATTACAGAACTTGACCTGACACATATGTTACTCATGGTAACTAAGGAATTTTTAGGAGTGCTAATTTCATCAGAATATTTCTAATATACAAGCTTAAAAAGCTATGTAATCTTATACAATAAAGGATAAATTGATACTGATATGTGATGTTTTTCTCTCAAAATGCTTATTTTTTTAAATGCTTCAAACAAAATGGTGGTGACATCTTTGAGAGAACCACAGGAAGTTAGCATTTGGCTCGTATGCAGCTCTAAGCTTCTAAACATCAAAATACAGCTGATTATGAAGACTGTTTTCCGAGAATCAATGTGGTTCTATGACCCTTCTAAAGCACTCAGATCTAGCTTGGAAAGGCTGACATTTCCCTGTGCTTTGGGATTGGAAAAGCATGCTAAGACTTCCTTGGGGAGTAAGACTGGCAGAGCTGTGTGTATTCTCAGAGGTAACTCCGGTCTGCACAGTCTGCCCGTGTCAATCAGTCAGCTGCTAGCTGCCTTCATGTCATCAGAGGAATAAGCAAATGAAAGGTAAAAATGTGGGAGAAATCCACTGAACCACAAAGTTCCAGAAGAATACAGATCTTTGGCAGGACTTTCAAAGAAAATCTCTAACCACTTGGTCTTTATTGTCAAAACAGCCAGGTTTTTCTAAATCTGATTTTACAAAACAAAAGCTTCCTACAAATTCATCCAAACAGGACATTTCGCATTGTGAGTGCCAGCTTTCCTCCTCTCCTTTGTTTTAGTTTGAAATGTTTGGTCTGCTGAAGGTTAAAAAGCTTTTTTAGTACACCTGTGCTGATCTGGATATCAAGAAACATGGAGGTACAGTACAAACAGATATTTAGTGCAGTGCATTCGTTTGTGACACTCATGTTCAAATTTCTTTGGTTTCATTTAAGATACTTAAATGCTCTCTCATCAAAGGAAGAGAGTGCCTGCAGGTCAGGCTTTAGGCTTGCTTGGAGGCTTGTGGATGATCATTCACTTTGGCAACTACAGCTCCTACGCTCTGCGTTGGCATAAATGATGCGTATTTCTAATGTACTGTACATCATTCACAGTCAAACATGGCCTGAAAAAGTCAAGTATTTTCTTATTTGTTTGACAGAAAAAAGCTTCATAGCAGCTGCAGCTCTACAAATGTACCCACTCTTGGCAATTATCTAAGGGCTATATGAAATAAGTGGTAGTCTTGAGTTTAAAAAAAACAACATGTGCTATTACAGGGAAGTAAGTTTAATTAGGTCCCTGAGCAATGTACTCATAATTGCGCATGAGTTAACAAGGTTTGCAACTGCGTTAAGAAAGGGAGAATTAAGAAGTCGGACCATTTGGATATTCCCCCTATTTCAGAGGAGAAAAATCAGAGGCAGGCACGGTACTCACTGCCGCATGCGCTGGATCTTGCTCTCTGCCATGGTGCAGTTGATCGTCCCTGGCCTCTGGCCCGGGGCTGGAGCCCCAGCGCTGACCGCCACAGCACCTGAAATCAATGAAGAGGTGCTTCAGAGTGTCCAAGCGGCTGTCATCAGCACCACCTCAAAACCCATGCCAACACGTTCAAGGGCACACAGCAGAGTATTCTCCCTCATCGACAAGGTAGCACAGGCATTAATTAAAGAGGAGTACAAAAATATACCCTGTGCTAGTAACATCACCAGTCTGAATTACTGTACTGTGGCACAAGGTGCAGTTATTTTCTTAAAAACACAGTACTTGTCCTTTTATTTCAAGTGTCCTTAATGTGCATTCTTAGTCAATCTTACACTCTCCAAAAGCACAGATAGCAACTCAACGTGATGGCGAACGTCATTTATTCAGAAAAATACAACATTTCTCTCGTCATCTGGTACTGGAGGCTAATGGGTAAACGTGCTGTAGACTACATGATAGCTGCGTATAGATATACAGGCAATAGATATTCGAGAAATTGTCTGCAGAAGCCAGTATAAAGTCCAGCCTGGGCAGACTCACAGAGTGCCAAAAGCACAAACGTTTGTAAATGCTCTGAGTGACAATATTCCATTCCTGTATGGGGAGAGTGGCAGGAAAGAAGCCATTACAAAGAAAAAGACTCATCTTAAAATTCATAAGAGATAACATATATTACAGACAAGTGTCAGAAAGGTTTGTGGTCAAACTAAACAACAGTTAATCTTTAAAAAAAGACTTTAAAAAAAACTTTTTTTAAGACTTCATGGAAAATGTTATAACTGGGGCAAAGCCCAACACAGCAAATCACTCTGTTCATCATGATGGCGGCGGCATCTTTTAAGGAGATGCTTTTCATCAGTAAGGAATCTTTTCAGGGTGGAGGGAAAGTGGATCGTCATGATCCTAGCAATGGGATGAACAACCGCACTTAAGCAAGACTAGGCCAAAGCCCAAAATCCCGAAGAAATGAATAGAAGATTTATGGTGAGACTTGAAGATTAGAGTCCATCAGTGATTCCCAGAAAAACTGTTAGAACTGGAATAATCTTGCTAGGAAGAATGGGCATAAATTACACCCACTGTGCAAAGCTGGCACAGACCTAAAATAATCACAGCTGTAACTGCTTCTGCCAAATATGGACATAGAGGCCTGAATACTTATGTAATCAGTGAACTCCAATTTCTATATTTTCTTTGAACATTTTGCTGACATTCAGGATCCTTCTCATAAAACAGTGTAGCCTCACCATTACAGTTTTAAAATGCACAATAAATAATCAAATAAGAATATATTTTTTGAAGATAGAATGATAAAAAGTTGTGTATATATGTGTATATATCTAATGTAATTTATCAAAATGTGAAATTGTTGGAATGTGAATCATTTCTCAGGGCACCATATATGCAACAAAGTCATTTTCAAAATGACATTGAGATCATATGTGCAACACTATTTTTAATTAGTGAAATGAGTGAATAAGAGTGTACAGAACCTGTGCATCCATATAATTTCATCAAGAAACTCTCAAAGCAGAAAAATATATACAAAATCTGTAAAAGCAAGGATATATGCTAACTGAACCAAACTGTTCAAGGGAGTAATATAAATTGTGTTAACGTGCTACATACTAAACTGAATGGTGTTCAAATTATTGGGACAAATTAAATTAAAGCCATATACAACTTAGTATTTTGTACCAAATCCTTTGCACACAACAGCATCAAGCCTGCAACCCTTTTGACATCACTAAACTCTTGATTTGTTCTTCTGAGATGCTCAGCCAAGCCTTTGTTGCAGCCATTTTCAGTTGCTGTTCTAGTAAGTGAAACGCATGATCAATTGGAATAAAATCAGGAGATAGACGGCTAGGGAAACTGGGGTGGAGTTGGACGCCAGAGATAATATAAACTGTAGGACACCTGTAGACTGAGCCAGAGGTAGGATGCCGGACAGACCTGGGACTGCACAGATTTGCACTTCAAATAGATGAAAGGACGCTCTTCTTTACCCAAAGGGTTGTGGGGTATAGACAAGCTACCCAGCTATGTTGCTCAAACCTGTACCCTGGCTTCCTGAAAAAGCCAATTACATCACAAACAAGTTAGATCTGAATGGCCTCCTCTCATTTAAAACTTTCATTATGTGCTTATGTACGGTCCAGTAAATTATGGGCTTTTAAAAACAATTGCAAAATCCAGACATTTGAAACTTTTGCAAAACCTCAGGGGTAGAAAGTCATGAAACACTTCACCTAGCTGTCAGTATTCTTTGCTAGTCTGACATGTTTCATGGTTCACTGGAATTGTCTGCATGCATCAGGAATGTGAAAATTCGACAAGTTCAGGGCTTACCTGAATCTTTAAAAAAAAAACCATGAACATGACTGGTTAAAGTGGAATACAGAACAAAGCAAAGGCAATTTATTTTCTGTTATGTTGACCTCTGCTATTAATGTGTCAAACAGAAGAAAATACAGAATTAAAATGTTTTGTCACATAAAACACCCATGTAATTCTTATGTCTTCTTTTAAAATGTTTATATAATTTCTTGTTTCCAAAATTGACATTGAGTATTTATCTCCCAAAACAACCAGGAGTAACAATTTGATACAGCAAGCACAACCTCGAATTTCTGCCTCTGTCATCTTTATACTGTTTGCCAATGCAGAATTAAAAACCGTCATTCAAAATGTTGAATTCTGCTGCATCTGATATAGTATGTTCGAGAATTCGGGGTCAGTCAACCAAATCTAAACAAGATCTTATCCTAAGACCTCCCTAAGTGGATCTCTATGACATTTCAGGAATTAGAATTGGCACACCACGCCTTTGTCATTATCACAGTTACATTAAGTTACTAAACATTTCCATGGCTAAACTACACGGAACCTTACTAGATGCAAAAATACATGAGTACATTTTGGATTAATCAGATAATTCAAGATTTCTAAATCAATTTGAGCAAAATATATATAAACCCCTTTACTGGAAGTTAAGTCATACCAAAGGAAACGAAGTTAAAGAGAACTTGATGTCCTTTTTCAAATATTATATACTCCAACAGTCAGATTTTTTATCACAGTAATTACCCAAAAGTGACACTATTTTTAAAAGTAGGTTTGAGAAACCTGCAGTTTCCTAGAATAACCAAAAAATGTCTGTGAAGTTGTCAAAAAATCTCCATATTAAGTCTGTACTTAAAAAAACAAACAAACATTTACATAAAGCTTTTGTTAAAAATTACGTTTCTTGTGATAAGCATTACTTTCATTAAAAAAAATCATTATTACAGTAGCAAATAGCACATTTGATAGAGTATCAAAATATCTCTTCCTTTTCCCTGTGAACTGGAACTCAGTCCCCCTGTGGTAGGTTGTCATTATATGTCACCGAAAATACTGAACTATAACTCACGTTTTTACATGCAAACTTGCATTAGAAATTATATGCAATGGTGCGGTTGATATATATTTTAATCTGGGATTTGGAAAAATAATTTTGTGCAACAGGATTAAAGTATGATTCCTGATCGAAGTCACTTCATCAGTTAAACAGTGGAAGGGCAATTAAACACCGGAGTTTTCCATTGATGGAATTCTGGCAGGGTGTTTGCAACTATGTAGCTACATTACCATGTTCCCTATGGATTATAATCTTATCACACGATCAAACCAATTGGCATCTCTAGATTGGGGCAAATCAGATATGAACGATAATTCTTGTAATTTGTTGCAGCAGGTTAAGTGCACTGCCTTCTCTGTTCAAGTGTGTTTTCTCCTGCTTCCTTGACTGATTTCTAAACATGATTCATGTCAGCAATTTCAAGCTAAGTATAATTTTTCCGCAGCAATCATTATATTTTTACATTGCAATCAGCAAAGCAGATAGCAAGCACTCAGCAACAAACAAAATATAGGAACAATAAAATAAAAAATAAAATACCATTCTGACACTGCTACAAAAAAGTATTATGTGGGTCATTACTGAGCGCAATTTTAAAGTCCCATTTTTGCATTAAATCCTCAACATTGACACTGTATCAGTTTATCATACACTAGATATTAAGGGAAAGTAAATTTTAAAAAAGTATTTAAAGGCAATATAGGTGGAAACGAAGGTCAAATGCTCGGCCATTTGTCTATTTTATGTGCAGCAAATGGACAGGATAGTGTTTTGTTATCATAATTTACTAGGAGATAAAAACAGGAACACAGAAATGCTGACTTATATTGACATCTATTTTTAACTGCCAGAATTTCAGCTGATGATTCATGCAACTAATGTAACGTAAAGGATAACTGTTCACAGTAACAATTAATGTCTGTGAAATATTAAACAAATTTATAAACGGCATCTAGAAGATTGCTTCTGTACGTAATGCCCGATAAACACTATAAAAAAATTAACAGTGGTAATAAATGGGAAAGAAAATGTACAGTATAATTAAATTATACGAGCAGAGTGTTGGCACCCGGGCGGAGCAGTGGCTCTTTGACTCAGGATCTGCGCCTGTGGTTGGAAGGCTTCCGGTTCAAATCCCACAGCCAGCAGAGGAATCCTACTCCGTTGGGCTCCTGAGCAAGGCCCTTCACCCCAGCTGCTCCAGGGGCGATGTACAATGGCTGACCCTGCACTCTGAACCCAGGCTTCTCTCCCTGTCTGTGTCTCATGGAGAGCAAGCTGGGGTCTGCGAAAAGATCATTCCTAATGCAAGAAATTGTAAAGGGCTAATAAAGTAATGTTAAAAAAAAAAAGTTAAATCTATCCCGTCCGCCAGAGAGCTCTGAAGTCCTTTTCCAAAGGCCGTTTCCCACCCTGAGGGGACAGAGTCTGATCACCGTCCCCACCTCAGTGCCAGCTCGAAAACTAGCCCTGACCCGGGCCGTGCCTCACCACGGGACTGGACTCGCACCAACCCCTTCCCAGCGCCAGCAGAGGCCCGCCCGAGTGCACACCGGGACTGGACTC